TACAGGGGTGTATACTTTTGATTGACTTTCTATTTAGAGTAGGTTAACTTGTAGAACCCAACTGTAATGCAAATGACTCTTGTCCATAGCAATGCAAATAAATAGATTTTTATTCTGTTAGAAAATGCCTCAAGTTTCAAATTTATTACCCTTTTGGATATTAACCAGCTTTGCACTTATTAGCATATTCACTTAACATTATTTTGGCTGACTTGACTTACATAAATCTGTCTTCATATTTTCTTTTGAGCTATTTTAACATCTTGCTCTTTACTCATTAATTAATTGGTTGAATAAAAACTCTGACATGTGTTCATTCTATAGTTCTATGAGAATCAAGTTTTTTAACTTTTTGAAAAGTATACTTAAAAGAAATCTAACTTAGTAATGCTCCTGGATCAAGTGTAATAGATCAAGTAGTTTCAGTGGAAGCCACAGATTTTTAAATTACTATAATGAAAAACTTCCTAATAGTTTGTGCTGAATATCTTCCAATTGATCCTCAAGTTTACTCGCCAACCCAGCTCTGTGCCCTGGAAAGTTGATCTCCATGAATTCCATCAGTGGGCTCTCTTAACCCAGGGTTGGGATTAGAATGAGGCCAGAGAGGCACTGAAGGCCCAGTATTTAAGGAGACACTCCCTCTCTCAGGGCTCGCCCTGCATGGCAGGGCTCTGACAGTGTCTCCTTATACATTGTGCCCCAGGCACCTCTCTTGTCTTAAAACTGGTTGATTTTAGCCAATGGGAGGCACTGGAGGCACAAGAAGACAAAGGGAAAGTTAGGTTCCAGGGTAATTATTAATACCCCAGCTTCCTCTCTGGGGTGTTACCATGGGCTGACACGCTCTTCTCTTCAGCACCATCCCTCTGTGGGTAATCAGAATGAGCCACCCCAAAATGTGTTTCTGTGATATTCCAATTGTTTTGAGCTAAAGGCAATTTTAGCTGCAGGCTTAAAAGAAATTTCTGCCCCTCCCTGACTACCTGAAAGAACCAGAGTCAGGGGCCTTACCCATAATAAGAGATTACCACAGATAACTTTCTTTGACCTATCTATAGAGCAGGGCTAAATTCTAGATACTAAATGTGTGTTCTTATCATCCTGCAATGACCCTTTGAAGCCACCAGGGCACCTTACCTCATCCCTGATTCAGGTTGTCTAATATACCTTAATCTCCCTTTCTATCTCTGAACCTTTCTAAACCTCTCTAAACCTCTCTCCTGCATGTGGGGATCTCTGACTCTCTTAAGCATGCGGGGTTCCCATACACATGTATTAAATTTACTTATGTTCTCTTGCAAATCTGTCTCATGTCCATCTGATTATTAGACCAGTCAAAGGAAACTTGAAGGTAAAGTGTGTTCTTTCCTATACTTTCAACCCCTCCTTCCCTTCAGCCCTGTAGGCATATTGTGGTTACTAGCTCTGGGGAATTACATTATCTCTTGTAGCCACCTATTATATTCTCCTCAAATTATTCACTTAACTGGATAATTCTGACCATCTGACTGACTGATAAACCATTAGCAGGACATGAAAATGGGATGGGCTGTTTTAAGAATAGTGACTTCACTCCCCACCAGATGGTCAAAGAACACCAAAGCATTGAAGTGAGGCAGGATAGCAAGAAGCTGGGAGAATTCCTTGGCAAGTGGAATGGGAAAACTGAGACAGATAGCTGAGCAAACTGGCCGAGCAATTTGCAGCCAGATACAGAAGTTCACCAGGGTGGAAAGCCCAGGTGCCTAGCAATGGGCAAAACTGGTGCTGGACCTCACCCTCAGGGTGGCCTTTCCTCCCTGACATATCTTTGGTCATGTGGTTTAGACCCTCTGACCTTTCCTCCCTAGAGATAACATAGGCCTCAGCTGTATTTCAGCTCTAAGCCCAGAAAAGCAACAAAACCAGGCAGGTGATTGCAGGACCAGCTTCAATCACTAATGACCCCCTGCCTTTAAAAATCCTCAAAACAAAGGACCTAGCATGTGCTCTCCCTCCCAGGAGCATGTCCACACCTTTCCCTTCCCCCTCTTGGAAATATAAACAAGTGTTCAAAAATTTTGCCCTTCTGAAATAAAGTCTCCAGCCTCTACTTCTACCCCAACTTTCTTACTTTCTCTTTTGCCACATCTCTCTTCTGCATTCTTCTGCTTTTAAGGGATTATGTGATCACACTGGGTACATCAATAATTCAGAATAATCCCCATATTTTAAGGTCAGCTGGTTAGTAACCCTAAATCCATCTGCAAAGATTTTCCCCAGCAGTGTCTCGATTAATGTTTGAATAACTAGGGGGCAGAAATCTTGGGGAGACATTTTGGAATTCTGCCTAATATACTGACTTCAATAATAATAAAAAAATTACTTGATAACTCATCTAGATGTGGTCCATGTCACTGCCTTCTAGGAAATTGCTCTACTCAAACTACCCATTCCTAGGGGCCAATTTCAATCATTTCTTTTTGATAGGAAATCACCAACATTTTTCTAAATTTTCAAATGTTGGCATACATTTGCATGTACTGTTTCTTATGATTCTTTTACTTTCCTATATTTACAGTTTCTTTTCATAATCTTACACTGTTTTTTGCTCCTTTTCCTTAAAACACGCTTGAGAAAAGTTTATCCATTTTAATGTATTTTAAAAACAAACACACAAAACAACAACTTTTGCTTTTACTTATTCTTTTATACCATATTTTTATTTCTGCAGATCCCAGCTGGCCAGCTAGTCCCAGGACACAACACGACTTCCATCATTGCTTGTGACTCAGAGACTGGTCTCCAAGGGTCACACTCAGAATTCAGCATCAGAATAGAAACCCTGTCTAACCTTGCACCTCGCTGCTTGAAGATCCCAGCAGCTGTTTGGTTTAGGAGCTGTTTGGTTCAGGTTTAAGCTGAGAGGAAAAGAGAAAGGTGCTGAATTTAGGTCATCATCTTCCCAGAACCCACTGCTCCCAGCTGTTTTCATGGAGATTCCTCAGCAAAATGGAATTTTTAAGTTGAGTGCCCACTCACAAGCTCAAGCAGAAACCTCCAAAAATAACTGATACAAAAACCCTGTTTTCATTTGAATCTACTTTAGGCAAAAGTCTAAGTACTGTAGTTAGATTTTAGAAAAGATTGATTAAGAGGCTTTGAGGAACATCTTTTAAGATGTTATACTTACATTAACAGCTAGTGAAAAGGTGGGAATAGGAAAGGAATCTTTAATGAATGTTTACCTACTCAAGGTACTTCACATTATTTTTTTAATTCCCAAAATAAGGTATTGCTGTCCCCATCCGAAGGAGGGGATACAGTAAAGGCTCAGATAGTTTACATTATTTGCCCAAGTTCATTCACATCTGCTCATATCCAAGGCCCACAGTTTATCTTATACTGAATATCAGAAACAAACAAACAAAAAAGACCATCATTACTGTGCTATTATTAGGTATATTTTTATTTTTATTAGTGATTAAAAAGAGTTTGTGTTTATCTTCTGAGCCAACAGGGTAGTTAGGGGAACTGTTTTGCTTTGCTGTGAGCCTGGGAGGGGTAGGCCGGGGTGGGGGTAAAGGGAGAATAGAAGAATAGACATAGCAAGTAAAGAGAACAAGAGAGTCAATGCCTATTTGTTGGACAAAGAGAAAGATGACTTTGCGACCGAGCTGCTGCTGCTGCTGCTGCTGCTGCTGCTCCCCAGCCATAACCAGGAGAAAGGTAAACAGCCGGGAAAGCTTGTGTGCTCCTCCCTTACCTCCAACCTACGCAAGCCCACCACCTTATCTTGAAGCCTTTTTCTTTTGCTCTTCCTTCATTTAATCTCCAGTTACATCCGTCTCACCCCCTCACATCTCCATTTTCTCCTGTTGTCATTCTACTTGAGAGCCAAAGAGTTGCAGCTACCTGTGAAGAGACACCCAGCAATAGCACTGATGACACAATAGGGAAAACCTCCAGTCTGAAGCGAAACAGGAACCGGAACAAGTTTATCTCCTCACCCTTGAAAGTGTTCAAAAGATCCCCAAAGCTTTCCCCTAATTGAAGTGCTTCTAATTAAACCCACTTCTCCTCAAGTACTAACAGCTAAGACTTTAAAAAAAAAAGTTCTTGCCCTGGCCAGTTTGGCTTAGCAATTGGAGCATCAGCCTGTGGACCAGAGTCCCGGTTCGGTTCCCTCTAGGGGCACGTACCAAAAAAAAAAAAAAAGTTCTTTAACAAATGGATTTAAAGTGAACTTTTGAAATGCAACTTGTTTCTAAGTTGAATTCTGCCATTATATTGTTCAAGTTAATGAGAAGTTAATGGGAAACAGTAAAATAGCGCTGTAATAATATACTTTAAATGTTCAATACTTTATAGGATTTGCTACCAAAATTATTTAGCTTATGAAAGATAAGTTGTTTTTTTTAATTATTTAACAATTCAGAAAAAAGTCAGTTATACTTGAAAAAGATATTTTATAGTAATGAAGTTCTAACATTTATTAACAAAAAAACTATTTGAAGTTTTCAAAAGCCTTTTCAAGTGCATGAATTTCTAATGTAAAATACTATTTTTCATTGATCATCCAAAAGCTCATATGATTAATTCCACATGCATCAGGGTAATGGTACATTTATCTTATTTTATATTCAATTATAGAGCAAGGTTATTGGTGTTATTTGGCTTCCAATAATGAATTTCCAGAATCAGTCTATGACATTCTTGGTCGGTATCAAACTTTATTGAAGGAATGCTGGTGATTGAGGAACTAATTGAGATAATAGAAATTCATGAATTAGGTTTTCTTGTTGACGCTTATTTTCTGATTTTGTCTTCTTATTTTGTAAAAATCGTGGTTTTTCTTAAACAGGCTACTGTTGATTTGTCACTCCAATTTCTATCCTTTGCTTTATTATACCATCCATCAGAACATTACAATTTAGATAAGAATTTCTACTATGATCTCAAAACTTGGTTATTTGCTTCTTGTTACCCAAATATTGTGCAAACATTTTAGGAGGCATTTAATTTTCACTTGAAAACTTTAACAAATCATCCAGTGGAGTTACATCACGTAATTTATGGACTTTAAGTACCTTTTTTAAAGGCATTAAAGGATATTTGACAGGTGGAGCACTGAATTTGGTCATTGGTTTTTTTACTGTAGACAACCTTCTTTCAAATTTGCCAGTTTTAGTACTCGTTTCTTGAATGACAGTTTTACCAAGGAAAGCTACAACTTTTTTTGTTAGGCTAGACAAAGGCTCTGAGAAGTTCCAGAGTTTATTCCAAGATATGTTTTCAGGTGTCTGCATAGTAGTTTGTTGCTTTGGTTTATCCTCTAGAACTCTATGACGCACTGCAAAAGATACCGCTTGTATACCTTTCCTCCATGCTGTACGCACAGTTCTTTTAGGTTTGGAAGAAGTAATAAGTTGATTATTATTTAAAGATTTGAGAATTTCATAATTTCTTTCTAAAACAAAATTTGTTCTTTTATGTGGGTAAATGTTTCTCTTTTCCATAGGTTGGGAAGGAATCCTACTTTTCCTCAAAAGTAACTTTTGTACATGGTCAGTCTCACGGAAAATTATGGGATTTGTGTCATTTTGTTCCTGTGGATTAAAGAGAAGAGTACTTAATCATCAGTCTATTGAGGCAAGAGGGCTACATATATTTTTAAACTAATAATAAAATATTCTAAACATGATACATGGAAGCTTTTAATATGAACAACAGTGGTATTCAAACACACACACAAAAACAAGTACTGTACTTGTGTGTGACATACTTCCTTTTCTTCTTCATATTCTATCAAGATGTTAGGGTTAAAAATCTGAACTTTGACCTCCTAAAATCCTTCTTGAAATAAGAGGGATATTGATAGAATAAAACATCATTCTGATATTTTTTAGGTTTCCTTGTCCAGAAATAAGAAGTATCAAAAAATGGGTTGAGTCAAAGATCATAAGAGACATAACTGATTACAAACCCAAATTACACAATCTGGATATCCTAGCAAATAATTCAGAAAATCGAAAACTATCTTTACAACGATTGTATTTGTTATCGTGTCCCAACATTTAACACATAAAAAGTGCTCCATATATATCTACAGAATAAAGTAGCCAAAATAGTAGAATGGCTTAAAAATGGGCTATTTTTATCACAGTAGTAGCAAAATCTGTACGTATGAGCTACTCTTCTCCATGTTTCCATTCTAGGGCAAAAAAAAAAAAAAAAAAATTAACTCCAAGGAAACTGTTAAATAGGAAGACTACCAGTATTTAGTTTATAAACTTTGACTCAGTGATTGTTACTTTTCCTTTAGAAATATAATTAATAAAATAAGGAACTAGGATCTGTCTAATTGTATATTGGTATACTTAGTTTGAAAGACATGTTAATGCCTATGATTTCCCAAAAGGTGACGAAAGGTCTAGTTTTACAATCCATTGGGGATGCCAGGGTTATCCACTTAGCCACAGTAGTGGAGATTTGTTATATTTTTGCTCTGTCCAATACCTTAAGAACTTTTTCACCTTTTAAGTCTATGTACCTTTAGGGAGAAGCAGAAAAGCTTTATCAGCCTCCCTTGAGGTGAGGGCATAGGCATGTGACCTGGACTCCACCATTAAGATACACCTACAACAAGTCTTTCATTCAGAAAAAGCAGGCACTGTGAAAACATAGCCAATGTGAAAACTATTCTAGTAAGGATGGTGGTAGAGCTATCTAGCTTTAAATGGGGAGCAGTGGCAAAGGTCTTAGAAATAGTGTCCCCTGCCCAGAATCGGGTTAACTGTTCTCTGTGACAATAGCATGGGCCTCAGCGCAGCAGTGAGAGGCTGTGATTTGGTGACTTCTGACTGGATAGCTTTGCAGCCAGATTGTCTTTCTAACCTTCCTAGAGACTCTGAGCTACCAAATAGACTTTCATAAATGTACTTTCTGGTTGCAATAGCTAAACTAGATTGATAGAAAAGTGATACATGATCCATTTTTTAAAATGCCATTTTATTTTATGTTTCTTTACAATTAAGAAAATTTGGTAAAGCCTTCATAAGGAAAACACAAAATGTTCAGCTGGTGCAGAGGAAGCCCCAGTTTGGGGGTGGTAGTTCTAAAAAGAGTATTAAGACTTTAACTGTGAAAGTAAAAGAAAGATTTACCAAAGATTCTGGTCACTAGAAGGTGATATTCCCATAAGTCATGAGCACACACATATTTACTGAACTATCATAGATATTCTTATTACCATGTGAGAAGTTTCGGTCTTCACTGGACTAATGTTGATTATCTTGGCATTTGGGTTTTTCAGTTCATCCTCAAAGCATAAGGAAAGCAAGCCTTTCTTTTCTTCTGAACAATACTCACTTAATTGATCATTTCTGACAGATTTATTCTCTTTTCTACGAAAATCATTCATCTGTGGAGGAGATTTTCTTCTGAAAATGAACACAGGTTCAGCATACATGTCTATAGGGCTGATTTTAGTTTGTCAGTTTTGGTCTGCCTCCCCCATTCCTCACATTCACTGCTCACATCGCCCCCAAACCCTCTGCCATAGACTTTCAACCTGACAAGACAAGCCTTCCTGCATGGTTTGGGCAGCGGGGGTTGGGGGGCGGAGTACAGCAAAAGTGGTGGTGGAAGCAAGACAGTGATCTGTGTGCCTCTTTTGTTTTTGAGTGGGGAGAAGGAATATTAAGCAGGTTGAGTAGAACACCAAAGGTAGAGCCCTGGCTGGTTTGGCTCAGCGGTTGGAGCATCGGCCTGCGGACCAGAGAGTCCGGGTTTGGTTCCCATTAGGGGCACATACAAAAAAACAAACAAACAAACAAACAAACAAAACACCAAAGGTAGAGATATTCTCACATCCTTTGTTGAAATACTGGGAGAAAAGTGTTTTGCAGGGCAGCTTTGTTAACAGGATGGAATAGTGTGGTTAGGCAGAGAGGATATAATTTTCATTCTAGATCTTCCTTGGTTCACATGTGACATGGACACTGAATTTGAGCTTGCCAAGGAACTTGCCAGTGCAAGGGTGAGGTTACTCACAACAAAGGCATAAGTGATGGACAGTTCATCTGAAGGACATAGCAGAGACTCAGAGAGTTCTACTATACTAACGAGAGATAAGAGTGGACCCTATCTATATTCAGAGAAAATAGACCCTATATACATGAACTGCAGATAGCAGCGGTCACAGAACATCTAGGAATGAAACCAGCAGTATAAGGATATTGACAAAGACCCTTGGTCAAGTACCTTTCCTCAATGTCACAAAGTCTAGTGAGCCCCTAAGTCACTGACTCAGATACCATCTCAGAAAGAAAGAGGACTGAGATAAACTCAAAGAGAGTACATATTATTGCTCCAAATTTTAAAGCATAGGATTAATAGGATTTTTTTTCATTACACAGAATTTGAGAAATCCCAACTATTTTATTCTCTCCATTCATTTTACCATGACTTTCCTCTCTATTTGACTGTAAACTTGCAGCAGATAGAACAAATGTTCAAGGTCTGAATGTAATGCTGACTAGCTAAGCAGTCTAGGATCTGTCGTAGGATGTAGTATGGGCCCAAATAGTAATAAACCAAATAAATTCATTCTGGTCTACTAGCCAATAAAAGGCAGGACTTTTCCTGTTAGAAACATCATTGAACAGAATAAAATATTTAAACATTTAAAATAAATTACCTTTTATTTACATAATCTTCTAAGTGACTAACCAAATCAAATGATTCCTTGGGTTTTTCTTCAGTTTGAGCTGAAAGTATAAAAGATTGTCATAAAAGGCACATATATATTATGACATTTAGGAAATATCTTGTATAAAGTATTTTACAACATAAAATAACATAGAAAACACCAGGCATAGTGTCTGATCTGTAATGGCATCTCAGTAAAAACTTCTTAAGTGAACAAGATAGAACTGGAAAAGATTATCTTGGATCGGATTAGACTGTCATGGACCTAATGTTTAGCTAAGACAGATAAACATAAGACTGATCCTGAAGAATTTTGTGGAAAAAAGGCATTCCCAAATTTCCAAATATGTCCAATATATAAAGTCTTATTAGCCAGTAGAAAGCCTCAGATGGTTAAATATTGTTGGCATGGAGGGAGGTTCGTCAGCAAATGTCAAATCAATCTGGCTAACCGGCATAGAAAAAGTGTCCAAGGTTGAGCTTTTCCAAATGTGCTTGGTAGCCAATCCAGCATGTCTCTACCTTCTTAAAAGTGTCCCCACATAAACATGCTATTAGCAATAAACAGCTTTTTTTCTTGTCCTCAAGCAGTTTGTATTCTAGTGTGGTGCTTTCCAATCCTTTCCACGCCATGGCAAACCTTTTCATTACTATCCAGGATAAATATTTGAAGGCACCTGTAGCCAGGCTATCATAGGGTCAGCCCAGCAGTCTTGAAGACTGAAGGATTAATATTTTAACACACATGTAGCACACCTATAACCCTCTGAGCACAACAGGTCACCACAGTATATTAGTTGGGAAGCTCTGTTCTAGAGGGAGGAAATAGTCAATACATAAATAAACCAATCAACATATAAATATATAAAATAATTTCAACTACTTGTAGGTATTATAAATAATATAAACATGATACTTTGCCTAGGGTGACTATTGAAAACCTTTCCCAAGAATTTGAGAAAAGGATTCCAAAATGGCAGCAGAATGAACGGAACCTACACAGACCGTCTCCCAGAACCAAACTGGAATTAAAACTATAACACAGACAAATTGACGGGAAAAACCAACACAAAAGCAGCTTGCGAGGACCATATAACCAGGGACACTGACTCGATCCTAGGCTTGCGAAGGCGCGAGACGAGGGCTGGGAGCCCACGGTCGGCAGCTCGGCAGCGGCCTTAGCTGGGAGCGGCGCCCTCGGGTTACACTCCCAGGCAGCTCCACAGCGCAGAGCCGGGACAGAGGCTGAAACAGCCACAGCCACTCACCTTGGGCTCTGGCAGAGGGAGGGCAGACTGGACTGGAGCTGTGTGGGGACACTCGGGATTTGGAAGGCACTCAGAGCTTTTGCTGAGTGGCAGCCATGCAGGACGGTGGCCATATTGCTCCTTCCCAGGGCTCTGGTGAGAGGCAGCAGCCCCTCCCTCGGAGATCCAACCTCACCCTGTGGGCCATTGAAGTGCTAATTGAAGCTCATTAACAACCAGTATCTGCCCCACTCTCGTGAAATCCCCTTATGCTGAGCACCAGAGGGAGTTTTTCAATCAACTGACAACCCAAAACTCATCAAGTAACCTTGACTGCTAGCCTCCAGGCAAAAAGCTAGAGGATAACAGTACCTTTCCTGGGCTAAAAATTTTAACCAGGAAAGTAAGACTTGACAGTGTGTTTAACGTGGGTCCTCCCTTGCTCATCTAAACCCAGGAGAGGGAGCCACAAACAGCAGAACACCAACACCCACGGGGAAAACTTGACAGGCTACAAAGCCCACTGTGATAGCCAAAACGGTGAAACACAGAAACAGAAGCCAAATGAAAGAGCAAGAGACCTCCACCGAAGATGAGATCAATGTGGAGCAATTAGGCATGTTAACAGAGCTAGAATTCAGAGCCATGATCTTGAGGAAGCTCAACAGCATGAGTAAGAACATAGAGACCTGAAAATAAGCCAAATGGAAATTAAAAACCATCAAGAAGAGATAAAAAATGACATATCAGAAATGAAAAACAACATTGGAAGGTTTAAAAAGCAGAGTAGAGGAAGCTGAGGACCGGATCAGTGAATTAGAAGACAGGGTAGAAAAAAATCAACCAATCAGAAAAACAAAAGGAAAAAACGATTAAAAAACAGAAAGACAGCTTAAGAGAACTGTGGGACAACTGGAAACGTAATAATATTCGCATCATAGGAGTCCCCAAAGAAGAAGAAAATGAGCAAGGGATAGAGAATATATTCAAAAAAATAGTGACAGAAAACTTCCCTAATTTGGTGAAGGAAGAAGGCATTCAAGTTCAAGAAGCACAGAAAGTCCCAAGTAAGAAGAACCCAAACAGGCCCACACCAAGACACATAGTAATTAAAATGCCACAAATTAAAGACAAAGAGAGAATCCTAAAAGCAGCAAGAGATAAGCAACAGGTTACCTACAAAGGAAACCCCATAAGGCTCTCAGCTGACTTTTCACAAGAAACACTACAGGCCAGAAGGGAATGGCATGAAGTAATCAAGGTCATGAAAAACAAGAATCTGAATCCAAGACTACTCTATCCAGCAAGGCTATCATTCAAAATAGAAGGTCAAATAAAGAGCTTCCCAGACAAAAAAAGGCTAAGGGAATACATTAGCACCAAACCAGCACTGCAAGAAATGTTAAAAGGACTGCTGTAATTAGCAGTAGAAATGGGAAGAAAAATAGAACCACACTAAACAAAAATGGCAATAAATAAGTACATATCAATAATCACCTTAAATGTAAATGGATTGAATGCTCCCATAAAAAGACACAGAGTAGCTGATTGGATAAGAAAGCATGACTCATCTATATGGTGTTTACAAGAGACCCACCTCACAACAAAAGACTCACGTAGGTTGAAAGTGAAGGGATGGAAAAAAATTTTCCAAGCAAATAGAAAGCAAAAAAAAAGCTGGGGTAGCAATACTCATATCTGATAAAATAGATTTCAAAATGAAGGCCATAACTAGAGACAAAGAAGGCCACTACATAATATTGAAAGGATCTATCCAACAGGAAGATATAACCTTGATAAACATATATGCACCCAATATAGGAGCACCAAAATATATTAAAAATCTTCTGGAGGACCTCCAAGGAGAAATCGACAGCAATACAATCATAGCAGGGGACTTCAACACCCCATTGACAGCACCAGATAGATCCTCAAGACAAAAAATTAGCAAGGAAACAGAGACTCTAAATGAAGCACTAGACCAAATGAATTTAATAGATATCTACAGAGAATTACACCCCAAAACTACAGAATACACATTCTTCTCAAGTGCACATGGGACATTCTCAAAGATAGACCACATGATAGGACACAAACTAAATCTCTACAAGTTCAAGAAGACTGAAATCATATCAAACATTCTCAGATCACAATGGCATGAAACTAGAAATCAATTGCAACAAGAACATGCAAAGATATTTGAACACATGGAGGCTAAATAGCATGTTATTAAACAATGAATGGGTTACCGAGGAGATCAAGGAAGAAATTAAAAACTTCCTGGAAACCAATGAAAATGAACACACAACAACACAAAATCTATGGGATACAGCGAAAGCAGTTCTGAGAGGGAAGTTCATAGCACTACAGGCCTACCTCAAGAAACAAGAAAAATTTCTAATTGACTGTCTAACCTCACAACTTAAAGAATTAGAAAGCAAACAAAAAGAAAACCCCAGAGCGAGTAGAAAGAAGGAAATAGTAAAGATCAGAGCAGAAATAAATGACATAGAGACCAAAAAACAATTCAAAGGATCAATGAAACAAAGAGCTGTTTTTTTGAAAAGATAAACAAGATTGATGGACCCTTAGCTAGACTCACCAAGAAAAAAAGAGAGAGAACCCAAATACACAAAATCAGAAATGAAAGAGGAGAAGTAACAACCGACACCACAGAAATACAAAAGATCGTTAACAGCTACTATGAACAACTATATGGCAACAAACTCGACAATCTAAGCAAAATGGACAAATTTCTAGAAACACACAGTCTCCCAAAACTGGACCGGGAAGAGATAGAAAACTTGAACAGACCAATAACAACTAAGGAATTTGAAGAGGTAATCAAGACTCTCCCAGCAAACAAAAGCCCAGGCCCACATGGCTTCACGGGGGAGTTTTACCGAATATTCAAAAAAGAACTAACACCCATTCTCCTCAAACTATTTCAAAAAATTGAAGAAGAAGAATGACTTCCAAACACATCCTACGAGGCCAGCATTATTGAAAACCAGAAAAAGACCCTACAAAGAAAGAAAACTACAGGCCAATATCCCTGATTAACATAGACGCCAAAATCCTGAACAAAATATTAGCAAATCAGATCCAGAAATACATCAAAAAAATTATTCACCATGACCAAGTGGGATTCATTCCAGGGATGCAAGGCTGGTACAATATTCGCAAATCAATAAACGTGATACACCACATAAACAAAATGAAGAATAAAAACCACATGATCATATCAATAGATGCTGAAAAAGCATTAAACAAAATCCAGCATCCATTTCTGATAAAAATGCTCAGCAATGTGGGAATAGAGGGATCATATCTCGACATAATAAAGGCCATATATGAAAGACCTACAGCCAACATTATACTCAATGGACAGAAACTAAAAACATTTCCATTAAGAACAGGAACAAGACAGGGATGTCCACTTTCGCCACTCTCATTTAACATAGTACTGGAAGTCTTAGCCACAGCAATCAGACAGGAAGAAAAAATAAAAGGGATCCAAATTGGAAAGGAGGAAGTGAAACTGTCATTATTTGCAGATGACATGATATTATACATAGAAAACCCTAAAGACTCCATCAAAAATCTACTAGACTTAATAAATGAATTTGGCAAAGTAGCAGGATACAAAATTAATGTCAAGAAATCGACGGCATTCTTGTACACCAATGATGAACTCACAGAAAGAGAAACTGAAAAAACAATCCCATTTAGCATCGCGCCAAAAAAATTAAGATGCCTAGGAATAAACTTAACCAAAGAACTAAAGGACCTATTTGCAGAAACTACAGGGC